GGGGACCCACAGGTTGAGAACCACTGTTCTAGAAGCATTCTCTCCTGACCTTTTGCCCACATCTATGGCAGGCATCCTCAGAGGTTGTGAAGACCCTACAACCTCTGAGGATGCCTTCCATAGATGTGGGTGAAATGTCAGGAGAGAATGCTTCTAGTACATGGCCATACAGCCTGGAAAACTCACAGCAACTCAGTATTTCTCTCCTTGAAAGTCTTTGACAACACACCTTTAAGTGCTTTAAAAATGTTTATATTGTAATGCACGTACATTGTTTTCAATTGCATTGTGTTGAATTTTTTGTTAGCTGGTTTGAGTTCCTATATTGCGAAAAAGGCAAAATAAAAATAATAAATGAAACTGCTGCAATTTTGCATCACAATAGAAAAAAGAGTGGTATATTTCATGATTTCTGAGTCTTTATTTACTTTTGGAACTCCCTTGTGCAAGTGAAAAGAGCACCTCTTGAATGGAAATAAATGGTTAGTTCAGGACATGAAATTTCATTCATTCTCCCGCAGTTCTGAGCCTTAATCAAGAATTCTAGTAGTTTGTAAAACTTGATGCAAATGTGAATGTGGGACTATGATACTCTAAGACTGTGGTTTGAATCCTTGCTCGGCTATGGGCAATCTTGGGCAGTGACAATCTTTGAACCTCAGAGACAATGGCAGTCTACTGTGAACATACTTTTCTTTAAAATAAAACACAAGATAGATTCACCTTAGGGTTAACACAAGTCAGAAATGACTTAAAGGCACAACGCAGAAGCAATACCAACACATTTAACTGTGTCTCCCAGATTTTTCATTCTCCACTAAGTAGGCTGAGCCATTCGACAAATGAGGATATTAGGAAGAAGGCTAATATCCTAGGGTATGGTTTACAGTAAGGAAGATATAACTAAATCCTGAGGGAGTCTGCAGGCTACAAAAAGTCGAACAGGAACCCCACAGCACTACCTTCTGAAATTACCCCTCCAGGAAACATTGGAACCATTAGAACAGTGGTTCCCACCGTTTTTTTGGACCAGGGATCACTTTGACCAAGGACCTCTCTCCAACATTAATACGAAAAGGGTTACTAATCAGTTTTTCATCAACTTTAGACTCGGTTTGGTTATTTGGGGTTCTGATTCAGAAAATTGCATTGGATAGACCTCATTAACTTCAGTTTCTGATACAGAACATATGCCATCCAGTAGTCACCATCTGCTCACCCACAGAAAACCATATTTAATAATCTAGAGCTGATGTGGTCTATTCTACTGATATAGATATATGTTATGTTAAATATAGTTTCTACAGTTAAACCTATTTAAAATTCATTAACAGTCTACATATAAAAGATAAACAAAACTTAATACCATGGAAAGTGTTGCAGTATCAAGGCTTCAATCCAGGATTTATGTGTTAAAAATGTGCTCTAGTAATGAGTTATAGTCCTCGAGGTTAAAGTTGCTTAAGTTTGTGTAATAGGGAAGAGTGTGAGCAGAGAAGTCCTTACCTTCTTAATGAAGCCCCCGGTGGTGCAATGGGTTAATCCCTTGTGCCAGCAGAACTGCTGACCAAAAGATCAGCGGTTCGAACCCAAGGAGCACTGTGAGCTCCCATCTATCAGAACCAGCTCCTTAGGTGGGGACAGGAGAGAAGCCTCCCACAGAATGGTAAAACATCTGGGCATCCCCTGGGCAACGTCCTTGCAGACAGCCAATTCTCTCACATCAGAAGCAACTTGCAGTTTCCCAAGTCGCTCCTGACATGGAAAAAAATCCTCCTTAATCTACCCTATGAAGACAATATTTTTGTGTCTTAGGGAGATTGTTGTAAGAATTACCGATATTTAGTATTTCTATACTAAAATGTGCTATATAACCATTAAACATTATTGAAACTCAGTTCTTGTGGGTTTTTTCGGGCTATATGGCCATGTTCTAGAGGCATTTCTCCTGACGTTTCGCCTGCATCTATGGCAAGCAGTTCTTGTGGGTTTTTTCGGGCTATATGGCCATGTTCTAGAGGCATTTCTCCTGACGTTTCGCCTGCATCTATGGCAAGCATCCATATGGATGCTTGCCATAGATGCAGGCAAAACGTCAGGAGAAATGCCTCTAGAACATGGCCATATAGCCCAAAAAACCCCACAAGAACTGAGTGATTCCAGCTATGAAAGCCTTCAACAATACATTATTGAAACTCATGGTAATGTGTGTGTGTGTGTCACCTGTAGACTGATGGTGTCCTTTAATTAATGGACCCAAAATACATAAAATAGATCATTCCCTTCTTTCAGAGGACATTCCAGGAAATCTTTGAGTGTCTTGTTTATCTCCTTACAGTCATGTGTCCATCTGTTCTGGAAGTTATTAATGTTCCATTGTATAAATAATTTACATGTCACATCAACAGTGGAGTGGGTGATGATATGGACGTGGCACAAGGACTTTTGATTCTTTGCTGTGCCTCCTGTCTATACATTCCTATCACTGGGGGAGAATGGA